ATTTTTTTTTAGATATTTTTTAGATATTTTTTTAGATATTTTTTAGATACTCTTCATCACATTTTTCACCTAAAATCTTCTCCGATGAAAATTGAAAGGAAGAAGTTCATCTGAATCGATGAAGATAAATTGAAATTGAAAAAGCAATGATGAATAAAATAGCACTTGGCCGGATTTTACGATCTTGAAATAATGATAAATAAGTTTGAAAAAAGTTAAATGAATAGAGAGTGAAACAATAATAAATATTAGTAATGATGAATTAGTAATAATAATAATAATATTACTATTAATAATATCAATCAAACATTTTTTGTTAACTTTAACCTTTCTGCTGAGTAAATAAATTTATGATTAAAATCTGCGTTAAAAAAAATATCCATAACATAAATTGCTCTTTTAGAATTTTTTTAATTAAAAATTTTTTCCCTTTTTTTGTTTTTTATTCTCTCTTTTTGTAACAGTTGAAAATTTGAAGTTTTCTCACTTTTGAACGCCGAAAAAAGGTGAAGAAAAAAGAAATGTTGACATAATTGATATATAAAATTTAAGATGAAAATAATTTCAAATAATTTATTTTACTTTTCATTAAATGTATAACCATGTGGAAAAGAACCTATTTGTGAAAAAAAGATGAAGAAAAAGTGTTGTCCGATAAGCTATCCATTTTGGTATTATCGTTATCTGTCCATGCAATCAGAACACAATTTGCATGCGTAAATTATTTTTCTCAAAACGTCACAAACTAACCCATAAGCTTTGATTTTATAGTGCAAATGAATAAATACTATAAAGAGGGATTTATCATTTTAAAAGTATGCTCAAATATTATCGCGTGATACGTGATATTCTTATTTATTTGATAAAAATTTCGATTTCTCACAATTCAATGACGGATTATGAATTGACTTAGACGGAAGAAATAAAATTTCCGATATTCTTTATAGTCAAAAGAAAACTAATTGCTCGATTACTGTTTTATCAGATATAAGAAATGAAAAATTATTTAACGCAACAACGTCAAATATCAATATCAATGATATCATCATTATCATATCAAAATTATCGAATTATTTAATGATATTAAGAAATGTCTCGATTTTTCGCTCTATAGAACAAAAAAAAGTACGAGAGATTCACATAATAATAGCATCATCTTTTCAGATTAAAGTTAAAATTTCTATTTTATATAACTTTTAAAAATACTTTCCTACAGAGCGATGAAATCAAAATGCAATATTTGTTTTATGAATATTAGTTCAAAGGATCATAAATTTCTTTTTTTTTTTTGAAATTTCCTTTTATAGAGCTAATAGCTTTTTATGGGAGATGACACAGCTTTGTGACTGTTTGTAACATTTACAGCGAATTTCGCCCTGCGATTTGTTATGGCAGCTGTCTGTTCGATCTCTGAACGGTGCGATACGATTTGTTCGATGTTTGTATGCTTCGATGGATACGCGTCATCGAAGCATTTCCTCTTTGTTGAAACATTTTTAGAAAAATAAAATGAGTGAAAGATGACGACGTAACACCTTAGAAAGCAAAAAAAAATGAAATTTAAAAATTTATATATTTATATTATTTTGAAAGTGTTTAATTCTTCATATATATAATTAATTATTGCTACGATAAAAAAATATGCTTGGATTATAGCTTTTATAAATTCTAGCAGTTTCGTACTTCTTGTATTACAAATAGTGATTTGAAATTAAATGGAAATAGCAATGTATTTGGAGAAAAATTGTTAATTCCAACTAATGACAACTGACGAACCAAAAAAAAAAATAATTAGCACACACCTAGCAAAATTACTATTGGTACTGTAGTCATTTTTTAGTCTTTTTACATGGCAGTAATTCGTATGCGACAAAAACGCTTTTAATTTTTTACAAACAACAACGATTAAATGTGACATTTCCAAAAATTTCATCGTAAATCGGTTATTGCTTTTAATTTTTGACGATTCATTACTTATCCTAATATCTTTGAAAATAAATAACCAAATGTTAGTGTTAAAAAAAAAAAAACGCAAATTTCCTAACATAAGCAATGTATATAATTGCATTATCATAAATAAAATCATTCATTCAACGATTTCGAATAAAGCCGTTTCAATCTTAATTTAAATTGAAATCAAGACATAAATTAAATTCAATTACAAGAAAATTCACCGAATTTTTTCAATATTTCTTTTTCTTCTCTTTCTATAACTTCACATCTCTTCACTGCACTATATCATCCGTTAAAAATGTTACAGTTTTTAAGCATTTACTTATTTCATTTAAAATATTAATTTAGCTCTGCAAGGAAACATTACGATATCCATCAAAAATGCTTATATGAACTCTCGGTATGGTGACATATTTAGTTAGTGCTTAAATATTATGTAATGAATGTTGCTAATTCTTCAAAAATTGGACTGAAATTGCAAAATGAGTTTGTAAAGTACTTTTTGTAGTGGAGCAGTCGTTCTAAAATTTTGCATGATAATACCTAATTGTTATAATCAGTAATAACTCTAAAATTTACACAAATTGATTGACGATTTATTCTACTCTTTTCAAGAATCAATTTTTTTGAAATTTCAAAACTTTACAAAAAAACTCCAGTGCTACCAGATGACCAAATATTGATCAGTCAAGTTATTATTTAGAATAAAATTTACAATAATTATTCATTAACAAATTTATGTATAAGTGACTGTAAGCATTACTGCAACTGCATAATGGAAATATTTTCACCAGTCAATTTTGACAGTCGACAGCTAACATTGTGATATCGCTGACTTGTTACTTTTTGAATCTTTTCACCATGCGAGAATACTATTTGACGCCATGCAATTACTGCCGTCTTCCGAAAATTGGAACTGAAATTAAATTTGTAATACGTCAGATTTTATGAGGCTTTGCAACTTTGCAGAAGGATGAAAAATGGACGAACCTGGAAAATGCATAAACGATAACATCGCAAGCAAAATTGATGTAATATAAGTAATGAGCGGTATTGTATAAGAATATTGTAAGAGTACCATTTAAGCCACCAATAATCGAGAATTTATAACTTTGGAAAACATACAATGCTATCGTATCCGTTATTCGTAACAAATAAAATGGAGTATTCAACAACATATACACCACCGGCACTACGAATAATATCCTACAAATCATATTTCTATTTTGTACCACATATTTTTAAAATTTCATAAATTTATATTTGTCTGTAAATTTGCTACCTTTTAAAAATGTTAATTTCATATATCCTTTCTAAACAGACAAATAAGAAACGAAAGGAAAATATTTTAATTTGCGTAACATATTTTAAAATTCTGGTAAATTTACATTTATTTCAAGTTAGCTAACCTTCTGGAAATTCAATTTCATAAAACATTTCGAAAAAATGAAAGGAAAACTGTTATGAATACGAACATAGCTGAGCCATGACGTCGACGACTGGAATTGCTATTTGAACTTGATCGATTGGGATCGTCCGTGAAACCACGTTTCACTTTTTTAGCAACAAGCAAATTCAATAAAACTACACAAAGGCATGGTACCACGTAGCATAATATTACATCAGCAGCTTCGATAACGATCTTTAAGTCATTTTTCATAAATTAAAAAAATTAAAAAACAATCCAATTAATTTTTTTGCATGACTGATTAACAAACAATATTCAATTCTATACGCGAATAGTAGCGATAATATCTAAATAACCGTGTTGCAGCCGTATCGATATAACGATTTATGATAGGAAGCTTTTCCTAATTTGAAATATCTTTTGATAAGTTACCTCTGGTAACAAAGTTTTGATGAATCAAGTAAGTTTTTTTATCAATGAAATTTAGTTAACCAGTGATCAACTGATTCGAGTGCTCCAATCATTTGTAAACGAAATTTTTCAGAAAATAAAAGCTTAAATTTCAATTTTAATTCATTACTTTTAGTATGAAACTGTATGAAGCAAATAACCTGAAAACTACCATCACGTGGAACACATTTGCGTATATTGGGATATTGAGGATCACTCTTATCATTATACGGTATCAGTGATATAAATTGAATTAAATTAAATGCAAATGGTATAGGTATCCAAAATAAAATCATTTTCCATCGATCCAAATGTCCATACTATAAATTTTTACCATATTCGATTATTTTACAGTTTCAATAAGTAGATCGTAAATGATTTACTTAAAATTTGAAATCATTACAATTAGCTAAAATTTATTTCTAAATAAAGGAACATGCTGAACTTCTCCGCTTAACCAATAATGATACATTTAAAAAATATATAATTTTACTATTTTAATTATATGCAATGAATGCAAAATATATTTCAGATAATTTTGTAGAAAAAATTTTTTTAAAGAGAAATTGACAAAATAAAAATATTTTAGATAATTTCTATTTACTCACATACATGAAATATTTGTGGGAAAAAAGAGAATAACCGTTGCATGTTTCAGTGGATATGTAATTGCTAAATATCGCTCAATGGTGAGTGCAGCAACAGACCAGCTGCTGATATAGGATGATGTTGATAAGATGTATTCGATAGCAACACAAAAGTGATAAGTGATAAAGTCCAGTTTGAATAGAATCAATAATAAACCAAGTAGAAAAACGCTATCCGCTGTTGTAAGCACTATCAAATAAAGATTTGCTGAGACCTGTAATTTATACTCTTAAAAACCTAAGGTTAAATGTTACACTGAGTTTAATTCTAGTAAAATATATTGCAAGTATTCTTTTATAGCTATCAAAATGTATGCTTTTTCTGAATAAAATCTTACTGATTGTATTGTTAATTCAATTATCATTCTTTATTTTTGAAAACATAAAAAATGATCTTTGTTTTACTAATTCCACTCTTCGTCACTGTTTTTTTCAGCAGCATGAACAAAATTTATTATAATTAAGTTCGCAATATGTGCACAAACACATATAACAAACAGAAACGCGCTAAAGCAAACATTTCGATTGGTCATTATTTAAAATGTCGAGATTGTTAATTTTGATCAAAATGTCACTTTACTCTTTGATTGATCATATCGGCAAGTAAATAAAAGTAAACAAAATGAACGAGAAAAAAAATGGTTGCCATAAAATGTTTACTTCCCGCAGACGTGAATGAAAAATAGTGACCAATGAGACGATATTACCGCATAAGCCAAAAATAACGATTATTGGCAAAATGAAAAGGTATAAATCGGTGCCTGTCTTCTCCACATTTGTGATACTGTCATTGTCCAATAGTTTTGTAGCATTCATTGTTTTTAATCGATTAATTAAATAGCTATTTTAGTGCATATTAATTGCGTTCTTCAGATGTTTAATTTTTTGTTTGTTATCTGAAAAATATATGGAAAGAATACCATGTCGAAGATTATTGCAACAATTTGATGATTGATACAACAGTTATTCATGCTACTTTTTTTTTTACAAATGGCACGAAACACGTAACACGTAAATGTTAGCGTAAATGTTCACATCTTAAATTTATATCACGAAAATAATACAGTATGCATTTTTGAATAAGACTTTTGATATTATTTTTGATATTGATTGATCTTAATTAGATGATCAGTATCTCGAAATCTTGATTGGCAAAGAGAATACATGATTATTATGGCTTCACGTAAATATCATCGACCAATTAGCTGATCAATTAAACTTTAAAATTTAAACTGTAATATGTAAACGATAATATCAGTTAGCAGATTAGCAGAATACAGTCGAGAAAGTAATCTATTATTGATCGGAGAAGTATGCAGTAAAAGCAATGAATGATGGAAACGAGAACTTCATCGATACTCAATTCTTGAAGTTGAGTAAATTTCTACATTAATTATCACCAGCTAATCATTTCATTAATGACAAAAACTGAATGACAAGAAGTGTGTGTGTCCATCGCAGTTTTAAGTTACTTGATCATTCTTAAATGTTCATTAATCAGGCGATCAAATGATCAGTTACTTATGAAATCAAAATTGAATATTAAAATTCATGTCAGGAAGTGCTATTTGCTATATTTTTTTCCTTTTTTGAAAATTTTTCTGTTTTAGATGGTTTCTTTTACTCATATTACATTGCCTATCACTTATTTATCATGATAGGAAATTGCTGCCAGCTTTGACCGATACTCTTTGATACAACTCACAAAGGTCATTAGGTAAAAGCACACTAGCAGAATTCTCATAAATGTTGAATTAACATCATGCAATAATTTACCTTGAGATTTTTTTTTTTAAATTTAGCTTTTAAAACCATCTACTCATTATTGTTTATTCTAATTTTGCATATTAATTGATCAAAATTATGAAATTTAAAGTAATCTTATGTAAAATTTTTTAAGCTTCTGCAAAATTTCTCTATTATTCAGAGAAATTAAAATTTTATCCAATATGAGACTTGAATGTCCTATTTTTTTGAATACAATCTTTAATTTGCATATGGGGATAAAGTTATAAATGTTGCAATGTAAGCAAAAATTTTACTTTCAAATTTAAAAAAAAAAAGAAAAAGTGAGAAGTTTCAAAAGATCGATAAAATTTTTTTCTAAGAATTCGAAAAAGTAAGCAATAAATGGGAGAACAAAGAGCTTTTTTTGTCAATTTAATTGATGTCTGCAAAATCTTTTAAATTTGCAAGTTTTGCTAATAATAGTTTATTCAAAATTTACGAGTGCTTTTGAAGATAAAAAATTGTTCCAAAAAAAGCAGACAGAACGTGAATTATTAACTCAAACTTTTTAATTTTTTTTTAACGCATAAAAAATTATTTATAAATGAAATGAATGTTTATAAAAAAAAAGGATTATTTCATAAATAAACGTTGGAATAAGAATTTTGTTCTCTCATAAAACATATACCGCGGGGAAATCATTTGGAAAAGGATTATTTGGAAATTCTTTGTTTAGATTTAAAATTTTATTTTAATGCGCGGTAATAAAGTAGCTCATCATGCTGAACTTTGACAACCCACTTATCACCTGTGATTAATATTTGAGAATGATCAAATATCTGAGTTGAGAAAATTGAATTTGTTGATTGAGAAATGGAATATTTGTTTTCACTCAAGCCAAAGTTAACTAAATCTATTAATTCTAACTTTTAAAATATATAATTTTAAGATCAAAATATTTGATATTTTATGTTTATGGAACTTCTTTAAATCTTCCAATCGATATTACTGTTGCAGTAGTTCAATTTCTTTTCCTTTAAACAAGAGTTTAATAATGATTGAATTTTCATGATATATTTACACTATCAAAAAATATAAAAAGCCTGTTGACACAGTCGAGAATTGAACAAACATCTGATTAATGAGATTATTTTTGATGCTCACAGAAATGAATTAATTTTTTGAAAAATAAATGAACCAATGAATTTAATAGCGACTGTTTGTTAGAGGAAATATTCGTCTGCATGGAATAGATCGTTCAATTATTTTCGAACAACTTTAACAAATTGAGAAACATACAGATGTATGCTTGACAGAATTATTAGAAAATTTAATAATTAGTTAAATCATCATATTCATTTATTGATTGACCGCATGACTAAATTGATATTGTCTGACAGATAAATTTGTGGAAAATTGTAATGACATTAGAGTTTTATGAAAAAACACTCAAAAACCTAATACGACAAGCTCAAAAAAAAAGTTTTCAGTTTTAATCTTCCGTCTGCTCTTTCACAATCATTGATTTTCAAAGCTTTTTTGAATTGAAAAAGCCTTTCTGCAAAATAAAATTATTAATAAAATAGATTTTTAGCAGAGAATTTATATTAATGCTGCAAAAATGTTGCAAGTCCTTTAATGCATTTATTATAATGAGAAATTCAATCGGAGACAAAATTTTAAGCACAAAGTGTCAGAAATATAGCTTATTTCAAAAGAAACGTTTTAATTCAAATTGACAAAAAAGAAAGTTGTTGCCTTTAAAATAAGTTCAATCCTTTGTTATCATTTTTCTAATTCTTTTGCATTTTGAAATCACAAGGAATTAATGTATGCAATTAAGAATTGTCAAAGGACTGCCTAAGTTGAGGTTATTTTGAAATTATTGATAAAGTGAAATGATTGCTATTGATTATAGCAATTTATTGATCACATTAGCAATTAATTTTCTGTAGTAATTAAAACGTGTAATTTGCAAAAAAAAGGATGTAAAAGTTATATAAAGAGCATAAATGTCACACAATGAACACAACGTCACTTTCATGTCGAAAGGAAAGTAAATTGAAATTTATAAAAAATTTGTGGACTAACTGCAAAATTCGAAAAATTAAAGATATAATTGCGCTTTAAGCAAAGGTAAGCTAAAAATTTCTTATTAATTAGGAATGATATTTTGAATTGGTTGCGCAGAATGTGAACATTTATTAATGAACTGACTTTTTCTAATTTCTTTTTTTTTAGTTTCGATATGCCTCTAAAACATTTCAATTTCTAAGAAAAAGTTGCATTGCTTTTTCTAATAAATACTGTTGTTGTAATAAAAAAGTTGGAATGAGTTCGGTGCAAATAGCCGTGTAATCCAATGTAAGCATTAAAGAAAATCTAAGTGGAAAGCTGTAATAGCAGCTTGTTTACAGCTTTAAAAAAAGCATTAGTTTTATTCATCAAATTGAAACATGGAAAAAAATATTCCCTGTAACTCAAAGAACAAAAAAAAAAACGAGCAAGGAAAGAGAAAATTTACTTTATTCATTTTTAGAGATACAAAGAGACAAAAAAAATTGATGAAAAATTTTCGAACATATATTAGTTGAGACTGTCAAATAACTGATGATGGCATTTGGCACGCTTAAATCGATTCATTGTAATTCGGCACTCCAAACGGCTAATTTTTAACCATCCAAATAAAATTCTAATTTCTTTTTTATTGTAAAAATGAAAGTGACAGTAATTTAGATTGATAGTATAGGGGAAAAGAAATTCTACTAAATTAAACAATGTCACAGCTGATGTCGACATATTGATCATCCAAAATGCAAAGTAATTAACCGCCAGTAATTAACGAGATTTCTTAAACAAAATGTTGTGCATGTAGCAAAGATAGTAACAATGCACTTCCTATGAGAAAATTTTCGAAATGTATTCGATCTCGAGAAACGAGCTAATGCTGGAAATGAATTTCTTCCGCTGCCTTTTTCCTTATTTTTTCAACAAAACTTTCTACAAAAATTTAATTTAAAAATTATTGCGAAAAATCGATACCAGCAATAGAAATAAAATAATACTCAAACTTTTTAATAGGAAAAAATTTTTTATGCTCAAAAATTATCTTTTTGCATTTTTTTTCTCCAACTGCGATGAAATTTCCTTTTTTTGGTACTTTATCTTAATTTGAATAACAAATGAGAGAGAAAGTTTATTCCTTTATGTTTCAAACAGCTGTTATGTACATCATAA